TTGTCTCAGTTAATATGGTATATAGTAGGAATGGTGATATAATCATTAGTTATGGCACACATATCTCTATTTTTATTAAATTTGATGATTTTAATAAAATACAATTCTATTAAATACAATATACCTATATACAATATATGAATTATATTCTAATACGTAATAAAGTTGATTTTATTCTTTAATCTGCGTATTATGAAATTATTGATATAATAAGGTTTGCCATCCCGTGGTATACTAGTTCACAATATGCTGTATACACTATTTATAAATAATTTCTAAACATACATATTTACTAACAAGTATATTATAATGGAAAATAAGTTATCGCTGTTATATTTTATATAATATCTTACCAAAAATAGTGGAACAGATATTTAACGAAGAAAAATATGTTTTATTCCTAATGCCATGAAATTAATATTTGCATAGAAGCTCATCATTAAAAAACTTTTCAAATATCCGTTTAATTGAATGTTTTATGTCATTTCCCATTGACCATCTAATTTCAAGAATCTGAAAAATAAATAAAAATTATAATGCATGAAAAAAATATACCTTTTATTTAATTTTTATTTATTAAAATAGAATTGTATATAATTATCTGCATTTTTAATAGCCATTGGATGAAACTATAAAATTCTTTTAATTTTAATGTGTTGACAATGTATATAAAACTAAAAAACTTATTAGAAAATACATGGTTTCCACCACTCAAATAATAAAAATCTCACTTACTAATTGAGACCTAAATTCTTGGTTTTGATCACTAATTTATTTTGCTTCCACTGATCTAATTCAACCTCTGTACTGATAGGCGTTTTAATTAATGGTTGGTTTATCAAAGATTGATTTTCCGAAAATGTCTGCAAAGATGTACTATTTACATTATTTGGTGTATCGATTTTGTGTTCAATTCTATCAAGTACATCAAACAACAATCTGTGGTCGTAACGTAATCCAGCAACTTGTTTTTCAATAGAATCTAATTTATGCCCTAAAAAAAATAATTAAAATTGGCTTAAAAATGTATTTTGTCTAAATTTAGTAACATTATAGGTACATAGGTTTAAATAAAAATAAATATTTTAAATGTGTTAAATTAATACATATTATGATTATGAATTTACCTAAGGTTTTAATGACGCCCATTAAGCCATCGTTATTAGTATCATTATGTTGTAAAACCTGTTCAAGTTGTAGAATTCCTATTCTATCAATTGGAGAATCTAGACAATAAGATATGTTTAAAAGTAATAAAGTAAAGTAAAAAGTTATAATAACATAATTATTGTTATCAATATTTATTTACTTGAAGAATCTTCCAGAAGTTTATCAACATTAAACAAGGATTTATTGTTATTTGGAGTTATAAATGATGATGTCGAAGGAGTCAACTTTACTACAGAGTACAGATGATGCACCAGAACCTGTAATACTTTTATCAGATGAAAGAAACTTTGTGCCTGGCTCATATGAAACGTCTTTAGCTGAATCATCTAAAAGTTCAACATACCTATAAATTAAAATATATCTTATTAAGCTTGTTGAAATATACAATTAATATGTAGTATATTATGTAGTCAGCCTTGACACGTGTGTACAATTTAGTAACTAGTTATATACGAGCATAAGACTCACTCTCTTTACGGATGTAACATGACCTCGGTCGTGCATATATATAGGTATAGGGCCTTTGATGTATGTAAAACTCACTTGCACAGACGCTGTCATACCGAGTGTACGCGGTGAGTGTGTGTGTATAGTCGCAGTTTAATTGTCCAGTTGTACGTTGTTATATATTATACTTATACATAATCATATTGTCGTGTTATTAATTATTATATTAATGCTAACATCATTCGTCCGTGAAGCTTCACTTTCAACAGGTTATGGGCCCAGTCAATAACCAAGACATACAGTCTAGTGGATTCGTGATCGAAGTATTTTTATATTTGTATTAACGCAGAAAACTACAACCAGTCGGAGATATCCTGGATTTCAGAAAACGGCGGAACAGTGTACATGGGTAAAGTTTTGTTATAAATTATTATACAGGAAAGTATACGGGAAACCATCGGTCATGGAAGACACGGCGAAGATAACAAAATTATGTGCGGAAAACTGGTCGTTATGGAAGTTTCAGATGAAGGTCATTCTAAATGCCTTGGAAGTAGGTGAGATAGTTTCAGGTGAATGGACGAAACCAGATATACCTATAAAGAAGTCGGCAACAGATTCCGACGAGGATGCCAAAGCACGTTGGCAAAGACATACAAAAGCTTGGCAAAAAGCGGACGGTAAATGTCAAAAAATAATAGTTACCTCAGTGGACGAGGGTCCATTACAATATTTGCTTAACTGTGAGACTGCATTGGAAATGTGGGAGAAACTGCTGAGTATTTACGAGCAGAAGTCTGAGGCAAGTTTACATTTGCTTCAACAACAATTTTTCAGTTATTCAAAGGAGTCGACAGATGACATGTCGACGCATATTTCTAAATTGGTCAATTTAGGAAGGAAACTGAGAGTAGCGGGTGAACCAGTTACGGATACCATGGTTATGACAAAAATACTAATGACATTACCAAAAGAATATAATCATTTTTACAGTGCTTGGGATTCAGTCCCAACAGGAAGTAAAAATATAAATAATTTGACTAGTCGATTGTTGATTGAAGAATCACGGGTTATCCAGATCAAAGGTGAAGTTGGTGAACAAGAAAAATCTAGTACATTTCCGGCCAAATTTCAAAACAGATCTGATGGAAGAAACGGTAGTCGTACCTAATTATGGAAAAGGTAAAAAGCAATTTACTAATAAAAGTAATATTAAGTGTTATTACTGTGGTAAACTAGGTGATTATAAAAGAGACTGTAGAAATTTTCTACATAGTATACACGGTGGTAAAACCGGTACTATAGGTGCAAACTTGAACGCATTCGTAAGCGAGTCAAGAATAAATAATATTGCAACAGTCGCGTGGGTACTAGACTCGGGCGCTTCGGATCATATGAGCGCGAATCGAGAGTGGTTTTCAAGGTATGAACCACTGGAAAACACGCAACAAATCACTATAGGTGATGGGACGAATCTGTATGCAGCAGGTAGAGGTAATATTAATATATTATCATACGTAAACGGTAATTGGAATAAAAATTACATGGCAAACGTGTTGCACGTGCCGGGACTAAAATTTAATTTATTTTCGTGCTGTGCCGCGATGGATAAAGGATTAGTAATGACGTCAGATAGTAAGACGTGTATGTTAACTAAACAGGGGAAACCCGTATGCTCAGGTAAGAGATGCGGAAGGTTGTTTGAATTAAACATCAAGGTAAAAGTAACGACAAACGGGTACGCGACTGTAGCTGTCGAAAACAGGTTGTCAGTTTGGCACGAGCGCATGGCACATCAGAATTTACAGTACGTAAAAAGTTGTTTGGCGAAACACGAAATAGTACGTTCGGCCAAGGACGACGAATTCATGAGCAGTAGTTGTATAATAGGTAAACAAAGTCTTAAATCATTTAGTAAAAGTAATACGGAGTATCACAATGTCGGTGATTTAATTCATGCAGACCTATGTGGGCCAATGGAGGTACCTAAGCTCTATAGCTAGCTTCAGTGTTAAATTGTTTTGTACCTCAAATAATTGTTCAATATAGAACTATTTTATTAAACCAGAATTTGATTCTAACACATTATTGATGCCTAGAACGTTTCTAGCAAGTTTAAGCATGTGGCAAGCATCTGGAATGTAATAAACTTTCATTGAATTTACCGGATGCTTAAACCAACATTGATTGGTATGATAATTATCTCCAATAACACAGCCTAAAATTTTTAGAGACAAAATATTTGTATAACTACCATAACATGTTACCCCCCAAACTCTAAGTCCAGAATTGTGTGAAAGAGATAACGCAGATCGGATTAACTCAGCTTGGGTTACAGCAGACAGTTTATTTTGAAAAAAATACCCTATTGGTATTTTCCATTTGCCATTTAGGCTTACTAACATGAATACAAGGGCTTCAGTAGCAGGTGTGTTATTCCCTTCAACTTCAACCTCATGTCCATAGTCATAATACCCCACATATTTGTGACTTACTCTATCCTATATTAATTGCTTTCTTATGCATATAGCATCTAATATCAAATTGCAATGCTTATCTTCACAGATTAAATTTGAAAGTGAATTCAAAACTTCTTTAAAAAACCCTGGTTCTGCGTTTATACAAGATGTCCAATTGCGTATGGCCGTAGAGCTTGGGAGTTTTAGTATAGATCTGAAAAAAAATATTAAAAACTTAATACATGTATTGATCATAGTAGCATGAACTAAGTTGTAAGCTTATAATAAGCCACGCCATCAAAATAACTACATAAGCAGCACGGACCTACAATAATTAAAAGCTTTGGGGGACTAATAATTTAAGGTCATTGCAAATTCTTTGATTTCATCACTGTATCGCTGGCCTTCTACTTTGCGTTTTTATTTTTTAACCGGTTTTTAAACAGCTCCAAAAATATACCATCAAATTTGTTTGTGATTGTACATTCCATTTCTGAGTCCAGAAGTCCGTCCCTTCTTTTTCATTTCTTTGAATAATTCAGACATGTTTTTGATTTTTACATTTTGTCTTCGGACTTTTTGTTGCAATACTTTGATTTGAGACTTCATTTTTCTTATCGGAGTAGTAATTTCAATGGATTTTCTTTTCCTTGTAGGAGTAATTTTGATTGGAGAGCTCCTTTGATATTTAGTTGGAGTGATCAAAATTACAGGAGTTATTCCTGTAGCTACTCATCATCACTATTTCGGATTTCTAAAGGTTCATCACTATTTTGGATTTTTAAAGACTTATCACTATTATGGGTTTCCATTGATTCATCCTCTGCCGAGTTATCGATTTCAGAAGATAGTTCATGCTCTACTTTTTGGAATTTAACAGGTGGTTGGGATGATGATGGTAAACAAACTGTAGGGAAAGCTTCACTATTCAATTTTAAAATATAAGTTCCCCAGGAGGTTGTCTATAATAATAGGTAAAAAGTGATTACTGCAAATTTTACTCCATCTATTTGGAAAAAACAAATCTTTTTTTGTAGCACTAACCCAATGTTGCAATAGATCGGGATTTTTTAAAGGAAACCTGAAATCAAATACAATTATATATAATATTATTTATGATTTAACAATTTAATAGTATTGTTGTTTGCACCCCTGTCAGGGATCCAAAAGATGATGATTTGAAATAAGTCGTAGTCAATTTGAATAGTAAAATTATGTAGTCACTTACTCTAGTAATTTTTTTTATTTTATTTTATTTTATCTACGCCAAACGGCATTTTACAAAAATTATAAATTTACATATGTTAGGCAGATAGCAGTACAAAATATTTACAAATAGACAGCTTAAAAACTAGAATAATTACAAGCAATTATAGGTACAGAATGAACTATATGGCATTATTGACAAAACGAAGCATGCGTTGCAAAGGATGGTTATTACCGTAAGAGGTGGAGCGAGTAGGAATGTGGAAGGGTGCATGATGTCTAGTAGGGTAAGTAGGTACACGGAAATGTATAGAGGAAAGAAAAATGAATGGGATAACTACTTATGAATTATAGTTTAGCTTACTGGTTAAATTAGTGGTCCGTAGAGCCATGGCACTCTACAGTACATTATACTTACGAGAAAAAATGTAAGTCACCGCTTGATGTTTTTCTGCTTTTGCAAAAAGCAACGGAACACGTTTGAACCATTTTAACGCGCAACAAGAAACTTTAACTTTTAAAAACAAGTAACCAAACGTTGTTATTCTCAGTATCACAATGTAACTTTGATAATAAACATAGAATCGATATAAAAATCGATAATACTGATATCGATGTCGATAATATCGATAATTCACTATCATTTTTGCCCCACCTGCAAATGGCTGCCAGCTTCAAAATTTTATTAAGCCGGTATACAGAGTTTACGATCTAGGTGTTTATTATATCTAAGTATATACCATATACACATTAAAAGTTGATATGAAATATTTTATTATGTGGCGACCACAACAATTTTATCAATGTAACCGCGGTACCGGCTCGTCAGCCGCTGCCAGCTGCGCCCCTCTCTCTTTAAACATTGTATACTGTGCGCACTCACTTTCACTATTCGGACGTACGTCGTGTTGTTAATTGTTATCACTTTTGTTATCACCTTTCTGTTGTAATCTTGTTGTGTACACTTAACCTAAATGTGTGAATACTATAACGTTGTTTTTTTTGTTCTGTCATTATAAAACCTCGTTATGTCTTGAACTATTCTTTTTTGTCCTTTTACATTAAACAACAGGTTATGGGCCCAGACATGGCTAAAAGAACTGATGACAAGTATGGGATAACTCAATTTGCTGGAACTAATTTTCCAAACTGGAAATTTAGAGTAGAAATACTTCTCGAAGAATTTGGAGTAAGAGCCTGCCTTACAGGTAATGAGCCTAGTTCAACTCAAAAGGTAGAGCTGGAAAAGTGGCAAAAGGATGACAAGAAATGTAAGTCCCTAATTGTTCAATGTGTTGCTGACAGTCATTTAGAGTATGTAATGGGCAAAGAAACTGCGAAGGAAATCTGGAATTCGTTAGTTCAGACGTTTGAACGTAAGGGTGTTGCGAGTCAACTGTATCTAAGACGGCGGTTACTTACACTAAAACTTGAAAATGACACTAATCTTGAAGCTCATTTTATAAAATTTGATGAACTTATAAGACAGTTGAAGTCAGCTGGGGCAAAACTGGAAAAAGAAGATATAGTATGTCATCTTCTGTTGACGATGCCGGAAACATATAACAATGTTGTGACAGCAATAGAAACACTTTCAATTGAGAAATTAACAATTGAATTTGTTAAAGGAAGATTGCTGGATGAAGAAGCGAAGAAAACAAATACTACAGATATACCTCAACAGAGAAGTACAGCTTTTGGAACTACAAGTAATAGTAGTTTTCCATTTAAATGCTATGGATGTGATAAAGTTGGTCATCGGGTATCAGAATGTAAATTTAAAAAAAAGTTTGGTAGAGACAAAAATAAGAAATCTTGGAAAAAGTCAACAGCAAATAATGTAGTCAGCAAAAGTGAAGATGCGGTTTGTTTTTCAATTGGAAAAGATATGGAACCTACCGAGAAGGCAAGTGAAATTTTTTGGTTCATTGATTCCGGTTGTTCAGATCACTTGGTGAATCAAGAAAAATTTCTCCTTTATAAAGCAAATGGAAACTCCTCTGAACATCGGAGTTGCCAAAAATGGGGAAAGTTTAATTGCGACTAAGACAGGTACAATAATTTCTTATAGTAGAGTTGATGGTGAAGAAATTCTGTGTAAGTTTGAAAACGTATACTACGTACCTAATCTAAGGTACAACTTATTATCAGTTGGTAAGACCGAACAGTTGAACTTTAAAGTTGTGTTTGAAAATGGTCTTGCAACAATCACTAAACCTAGTGGAAATGTAGTTGCTGTTGCACGCAGAATGAGAACTCTGTATGGCATAACTTTCTCTCTAAAACCAAATACTTGTGCAAATAACTGTATTGATACACAAATTGATGAGAGTTTGTGGCACAAAAGGATGGGACATCCAAACAAAAGTTATTTATGGATGTTGAGAGATATGGTTACTGGACTAAATCTTAACAAGAATGATATTCCGGACTTCTGCCAAACATGTGTAGAAAGCAAGCACTCAAGAAAACCATTTCAATCAAGGTCTTTTCAGACTCGTCGTCCGCTGGAAATTGTGCACAGTGATGTGTGTGGACCAATATCACCGACTACTTGGAACGGTAAGAAATACTTTCTTTCATTCACTGATGATTATACCCGTTTTTCAATTATTTATTTATTAGAAAAAAAAAGTCAAGTGTTTCAATGCTTTCAAAATTATGAAGCAACTGTAAGTGCATTTTTTGATTTAAAAGTTTCCATATTGAGATGTGACAATGGAGGGGAGTATGTAAGCAATGAGTTAAAACGTTTTTGTTCAGTTAAAGGAATTGTTGTTGACTATACTGTTCCTTACACACCTGAACAAAATGGTTTAGCAGAAAGATTGAATAGAACATTGGTAGAAAGAACAAGATCATTGCTGTTACAATCAAACTTGTCAAAAGAAATGTGGGGAGAAGCAGTACTCACGGCCGCTTATTTGGGAAACCGACTACCAACACATGCAAATATAAAGAAGACTCCTGTTGAGCTTTGGACTGGAAGTAAGCCTAACTTAAACAATATTAGAATCTTCGGATGCGTTGCTTTCGCACACATACCAGACCAATTGAGGCGTAAGTTAGACTCAAAGTCAAAAAGATGTATATTTGTTGGTTATACAAAAAATGGTTATAGGCTATGGGATCCATTAACAAAGACTGTGTTTGTCAGTCGAGATGTCATATTTAATGAAAAAGAATTGTTAAATCCTATAATTACTAATAATGAAAAGGAAATACTTGTTGAAATAAACAATTCAGAAATTGCTGAGGAATCAAAAGAAACCACTGAACAAGAATCTCAAGATGAAGAAAGAAAAACAGAAAATGAGGTGGATAAAGTCATTGGAAATAATATACCAACACAAGAACAATTGAAAAGAAACAGGAAAACTCCAACGTGGCATAAGGATTATGAAATGTCAATGATGGCACTTTCTGCTGAATACTATGTTCAAGATTTACCAGAAACTGTTGAAGAAATCAAAACTCACCCAAATCATACTCAGTGGAAAGCAGCTATGGAAGAAGAAATGAGAGCTCTTAATGAGAATAATACATGGACTTTGGTTAAAAGACTGCCTAACAAAAGGGTTATGAACAACAAGTGGGTCTTTAAAGTTAAAACTGATGAACAAGGAAATGTTATACGATTTAAAGCAAGACTTGTTGTCAAAGGCTATTCTCAAAAGTTGGGTTTTGACTATATGGATACCTATGCACCTGTAGCCAACATAGTGACTGTTCGCACATTACTATCACTGGCACTACACAAAGACTTGCATATTATTCAAATGGATGTGACAACAGCGTTTCTGAATGGAATAGTTGAAGAAGAATTGTACATGAGACAACCTGAGGGTTTTGAGAAAGGGGAAAACTTAGTTTGTAAACTAAATAAATCATTGTATGGTTTAAAACAAGCTCCTTATTGTTGGAATAAAAGATTTAATGAATTTATTGAAGGGCAAGGATTAGTAAGAAGTAATTCTGATCGATGCTTATATATAAAAATTAATAGTAATGTATGTTTATTTTTACTATTGTATGTGGATGATGTTCTAATAGTGAGCAACTCTATGAAGTCAATGAATGACTTAAGAAGAACACTGAAAGAAGAATTTAAATTAACCGATCAAGGCGAAGCAAAATCATTTCTAGGTATTAAAATAGAACGTACTGAAGACTCTATGAAAATTAGTCAAACTCATTATTTGGAAAAGTTGCTGAAGAAATTTTCAATGGAAGACTGCAAGCCAATATCGACACCTATGGAAACCAAACTTAATACAGAAAATGGAGAGGCAACTAATAAACCTTATCGCGAGTTAATTGGCTGTCTAATGTATGTAATGATTCAAACAAGACCGGATTTAAGCGTTGCAGTGAACTTGTTTAGTCGATATCAGTCTCAACCGACAGACAGTTTATACATTCAACTCAAAAGAGTACTACGCTATGTGAAGGGTACTACTGATTTTGGTCTTATCTATAAAAAGGGTAAAGAAGTAAGTCCACTAAGGGGATTTGTTGATGCAGATTTCGCTAATGACATCAACGATAGGAAATCTACCTCTGGATACTTATTTCAAATATATGGATCCACAGTTTGCTGGTCTACAAGAAAGCAATCAACAGTAGCAATCTCCTCAACAGAGGCTGAATATCTAGCATTGGCATCAGCTATACAAGAAGCTATGTGGCTCAAAGGTTTACTTGTTGAAATGGGCGTTATAGGAGCAGATGAACAAATTGTTTTGTATGAAGACAATCAATCCTGCATCAAAATTGCTGAAGAGCCAAGAAAACATCAAAGACTTAAACATCTAGATACCAAGTACAATTTCATTAATGAATCAATTGCCAACAATGAAATAAAATTGGAGTATGTTCCATCAGAAAATCAGCTAGCCGACATTCTTACTAAACCACTGTCGGCTTCAACATTTATGAGACTGAAGAAACTTATTGGTGTCAATGAATACTAAGATTATTTTTTTTATGGTTTATATTAAATTAGTCAATAGTCAAGTATAATATTGTTATTTGTTTTACATTATGTTTATTTATTATTATTATTTTACCTATGTTATATGTATACTTGAAATTTTTAATTAATGTTTGTAGTTACAAGATTAAGTGGAAGTGTTGTTAATTGTTATCACTTTTGTTATCACCTTTCTGTTGTAATCTTGTTGTGTACACTTAACCTAAATGTGTGAATACTATAACGTTGTTTTTTTTTGTTCTGTCATTATAAAACCTCGTTATGTCTTGAACTATTCTTTTTTGTCCTTTTACATTAAACAACACGTCGTCGTATATACATCGCGCTCCGTTTCTATCCTTTTTTTGTAACGCCGAAAAATCGAAAATAACCTGTAAATAAAACACGTTGTTTTAACCTGCAGCCACGGACGTATATACAGGACTGGGCACGAGTCGTTATCAGTGGAAAATTAGTGTCACGCTGGGGACCACAGGAATACACATTGCGCCATCTATTTGTGTTATATTTAAATGCGAAATTATTTAATTATTTTTATTTTTATTTTCATTTTTAATACTGAAATGGATGTATACCACAGACGTCCGTTACGTATATTTAAAATATTTATGAAAATTTTCGTTTTAAAGTATTAAATTTACTACCAAATACTAACGTCGTTTATAGTATTTACTCCTACGCACACACATATACATTACATAATATGTACTTTGTACGTCCCTGTTATTACTATATTAAGGTTATCACCTTTTCATTTGAATCATTTTTATGTATTTTGTTCTTGTGTGCCAAATATGTTATGGGAGTAGTACTGTTAAATGCCATGGTTCAGAATTATTTATATCAGCTGGTGGTAGCATAATATTGTCCTCGATATCAATCTTAAATAAAATGTTTAATTTAATATTTATCTACTCAGTATATTTAATTTAAGTTATTTTTCTGAAATTGGGTACCTGTGGTATAGCATCTGGTTTTAAATTTTTACGTTCCATTTGTAGCTAATAATAAGAAGAATGAAATAAAATAATTTGTGACTTATAGTTATCCAATAAATTAAAAAATATAAATATACACCTACAATATCGCTAGCTTTGAAATGTTTTTCACATAACCTATATGAAATTTTATTTACATACTTTGTATTTATGGTCTGCAATAATGAAACCCATTTATCAAAAAAGATTTTTTGTTTTGGAAATCCAAATCTACAATTAATTAAACAAATTGCAATTTAATCATTCTAATTGCTTAGGTATAGTAATTAGAAATATTTCCCACAACTGTTCTATTAACGATTAAATGTATAATTTTAATACTACTTACGAAGATATGTTTTGTCCCTTTTTTGACCCACAATGGGGAAAACAACAAAACTGTACCATATTTATTTAATTAAGGATAATAAAATAATAACAAAATAGCAATACTGAATAATTCATTTACATTTTATTTTACATATTATATATCATATATTATGCAAATTAATACATTAAGATACAATTTTTGGAGGGAAATCTCTTTATGTAAATAAAAAGGTTTAATATATTTATAACATGGGTGTAAAAGATACACACAATATTATTAGAATACTTGCTCTAAGTGTAACTCGGTGCTCGTTGGACTCACTGGGAGTGGGTACCGATTTTGGAGACAATGAATTATAAAAGTCGCAAATGTAAGACGAAAGTTTAGAATTTGTGATAAGGATTAGTGATATGGATTGGAGATAAGGCTAGACGCTTTGGCGGGAATGTTAAAAGTTTGAGCGTCTAGCAATCCGTCACAAACGTTGTAAATGGATAGGCTGGATACGATCTCCAGGATCATCTATATACTATATAGACTCTATATAGTATATATTATAGAGTATACCTGCACATAGAGTGGTATGTGCCGTAGCATGACCGCAGACCGGTGCTTTATCTTATGTAAAAAGTGTAAAGTCGAAAACCGTGTTGGAGTTTCTAGCAAGTCAGTCATCTCAAGACAAAATCTATTAACTTTCAAGTTAGCCACTTAGGTAGGCAATCCGACGTCGTCGGATCGCGGAC